CAGCGTGGTTGTTAACCTCATGCCATTGCATCGCGGAAACTGCCAGTACATTCGAGGGTGGAGGGTTGCGGTAATCAACCAGAGAAGCAAGGACATTTATGCCTCTTTCCCTCCTTCCCTTCTCCCAAATCCACCTCTTTGGATGGCTCCTGCTAAGGACAACATACGCCACGTCACCACTGGAAGCAACTTTCAACCACCTTTATTCTTCCAAGTCCTTTACGACTTGTCTTCGTGTCCTGAAGTCTTTTCCTACTGCTTCTCTTCTACGCTCGAGTTCTTTTTGCCTCGAGCCTCATCACTTCATGCCCCGTTCGCTGCAGAGACTTTCCCTCAGGTGTTGGCCTCCATCTTCCTGCCCCCTGGGTCCACCCTGCAGAACATGGTCCACTTTGGTGTGGCTTTCTTTTGGCAAAGCACCTATGTTCATATCCCATTTCCTATGGTCCAATATCCAAGGTCTTCTCTCTCTTTTTTTTAATGCCTATTTACTTGAGAGAGAGAAAGAGAGAGTGAGAGAGAGAGGCATGAGCAGGGTAGGGTCAGAGAGAGAGGGAGACACAGAATCTGAAGCAGGCTCCAGGCTCTGTCAGCACAGAGCCCAAAGTGGGGCTTGAACTCACGGATGGTGAGATCATGACCCGAGCCAAAGTCACATGCTTAACTGACTGAGCCACCCAGGTGCCCTCAAAGTCTCTCTTTTTAATGTTTATTTTATTTTGAGAGACAGAGAAAGAGAGAGAGGTGGGGGAAGAGCAGAGAGAGAGAGAGAATCCCAAGCAAGCTCTGTGCTAACACAGGGCTTGATCCCACAAACTGTGAGATCATGACCTGAGCCGAAATCAGCAGTTGGATGCTTAACTGACTGAGCCACCCAGGCACCCCCAGGACTCAAAGTCTTCTGAGTGGCTTTTCTCCCCGCAAGTAGGACAGTGCAGAGATCTAGGAAGGATGGGACTCAGGAGAGCAGGATTCAAGTCTGACTCCTTGGCCTTAGGCTAACTTTCTTATGTCTCTTATTCTCTGTTTCTTCACCTGTAAGATTAGGAAAATAGTCGAAGCTGTCCCATAAGACTGTTTTAAGGTTTAAATGAAACACGTAGTGTAAAAAGATGCTAAACGCTCATTCCCACACTGTCCTTTCTCCCCAGTGACGCCTGTCTTGCTCTTTCTTGCTGACCCTCTTCCAGAAATACTCCAATCACAGAAGCTCTGAAAGTCACCTCGAACAGCTCAGCCCTCCATCCTCTGAGCTCCTTGTGACCTTTAGCAGCTCTCGAAGAGAAAACCTGCCTGTAGCAGAAACCTCAAAGGTCTCCTGGAACCTCCACAGAACCCCAAGGCACATTCCATTTGCTCCAATTGCAGCAATCTGTAGGATTTATTTATTTATTTATTTATTTATTTATTTATATGTTCATTTATTTTGGGGGGCAGGGAGGAGAGCGAGGAAGATACAGTATCTAAAGCAGACTCCAGGCTCAGCACAGAACCCGACCCAGGGCTCGAACTCAAACCATGAGATCATGACCTGAGTCCAAGTCAGACACTTAACCAACTGAGCCACGCAGGTGCCACTCATTTTACTTTTTTTAAACTGCTATCCTACTGTATCTTCTTACTTGATTTAAAAAAAACCTCCTTCCCGGGGTGCCTGGGGGGCTCAGTTGGTTGAGCGTCCGACTTCAGCTCAGGTCATGATCTCATAGTTCGTGGGTTCGAGCCCCACGTCAGGCTCTGTGCTGACAGCTAGCTCAGAGCCTGAAGCCTGTTTCAGATTCTGTGTCTCCCTCTCTCTCTGACCCTCCCTTGCTCACGCTCTCTCTCTCTCTCTCTCTCAGAAATAAATAAAACATTAAAAAAATTAAAAAAAAAAAACCCTCCTTCCCTCCTGGTTCCATGATGGGTCCCCTTCTTCCCAAGGACTGAGTCTCAAGCTGAAGACGGACACAGGGAGAGGCAAACACCGGGCTCAAACCCCCGTCCAGGACCCACAGCCCAGTTATGACCGTCAAATGCTCTAAAGTTTTACCAGGCTCTGTTTTGGCCCTAAAACAGGATAGCAGTACCGGGTGGACAAAACCAGAGACAGGACATAGGGCTGCAAAGACAGGAAAAGGGGAAAGCGTGCGTTGTTATGAGTTATTTCGTTCCTCCCCCACCAGTACAATTTCCTGAGGCAAAGGACTCCTAGTAATGCAATTATCTTAGGTATTTTGAAAAGCAACCTTATTTCAAAATAAGGATGCTGGGGTTTTAGAAATCACACTTTGTGTCCGTAGAGGGCCGGGTCACAAGAGCCAGGACAGAACGTCCTCTCGGGTGGAGAGATTTCAACAGCACCAGCTTCCCGGGGGATTGCCTCACGCTGTCCTTCTGTTTTGATTTTTAATTCATAGCTTAACTATTAGAAGACAAAAAAAAGTGCTGAATTTAATCCCTTAGCAGGCAGTGTTTACCATTAGACTTCAAATACATACGGTTTATTGAGGGAAGAAAATCTTAAGACCTTTCTAGACATCTTTGGAACTGTTTTGTACTCTCTCAAGGGCCCAGGCCGACGTGAACACTGTGGCCAACTGACAACAAATCTCTGTCTTTCCTTCTCAAGGTAAGAAAGGCCCGCAGGGCTCAGCAGGGAGCATAACAACAGGAAGGAAAACACCTGAAGAACATCGGCCTCAATAAACCAAGGAGACACACAGAACGTGCGGACTTGGCTCTGCTTGGAGTCTGTGACTTGGCTCGCTGCCGCAGAAATAAAGGAGCAAAGAAAGCTGGTTGAACAACTTCACTTCTCTTTGGAGGAGGGATTGAAATGAAGCCTTGCATAGGGACAGGAGATTTGAGGCAATTAGTGGCAGGGGCCCAATAAAAACAAGCCTCCCAGGTTAGGGGGAGAGAAACCCAGCCACCGCGTGCACGCTGCCTAAGTGCCTCTCATGATCTCTGTCCAGGGCGCTCACACATCTGCAGTAACATTTAGGAGTTGTTTTCAAGTCTCAAAGTCTCTGATTATTCTCCTAGATTCACACCAGACAATCGGTTCTCCCTTCCTCTCCGTTCCACAATGTCCTCATGCACGCTGACCCCAACACACAGAAACACCGCCTCTTGCATTTTCGAGGAATCAATAACCAGCCCGTGCTTGCTTTTTTTTTTTTTTTTATTTTTTTATTTCTAGGAGAGAGAGACAGCGTGAGCAGGGGAGGGTCAGAGAGAGAGGGAGTCACAGACTGAAACAGGCTCCAGGCTCCGAGCTGGCAGTCAGCACAGAGCCCGACGCGGGGCTCGAACCCACAAATCGCGAGATCATGACCTAAGCGAAAGTCGGAAAGTCGGACGCTTAACCGACTAACCCACCCAGGCACCCCCCCGTGCTTGCTTTGAAAAGCGGGAGCCCAAGCCAAACACCCTCTTTATCATTTTCGAAATGGGTGGTTGAAAATACCAATTCTATGTTAAAGATGTTTAAAGACCTCACAATTCCTCTATCACTAATGGAAACATACTCATTTCTTTATTTCGAGGATCCAATATAAGTCGGCTTGCCTCCTTCCAAAAGGCCTTATTTAGAGCCACGTGGGAACATGGTGATGTGGGAGGACCCTGAACACGCCTCCGCCCACTGACATCCCAAAACTGCAGCTTCACAGGAAACAGCTCCCTGTGAGGAAGCCCTGAAAGCCTGCTCAGCTGCTCCTCCACCACGAAGGAGAAGACGATCACACTGAGGTGGGTCGGAAAGAGGGAGATGCGGTCTCGACCAAAACCTCACCCCGGCACAGAGATCCCCAACAGGGAGGGGTCTTACAAATACAGAGCTTACCCTAGAGGAGTGAGGGGTCTGTGCCCCATGCCAGGAACCCCAACCCGTGGGACCTACCCCAGGGAGATACATCCCCCAAAAGGTCTGGCTTAGAAAATCAATGGGGCGTGCAAGGGGCCAGGAGTCTGTAGGAAAGGAAGTGCTGAGAGGAAAACAACTTCCAACCAAGAATACTCTACCCAGCAAGGTTATCTTGCAGAACTGAAGTAGAGATAGGGAGGGTGGTAGTAAGATTTACCGTGGCGATCGCTTTGTAATGCATACAGATATGGAATCATTATGTTGTACACCTGAAATCAACATAATGTTTGTTATATGTCAATTGTACCTCAATAAGATATTTTTTAAAAAATTACCTGAGGCGTGTGTGTAGCTCAGTTGGTTGAGAGTCCAACTCTTGCTTTTGGCTCAGGTCATGATCCCAGGGTCATGGGATTGAGTCTCGCCTAGGGCTCCATGCTGAGCACTGAGCCTGCTTAAAATGCTTTCTCTCTCTGTCTCTCTCTCTCTCTCTCTCTCTCTCTCTCTGGGCACCTGGGTGGTTCAGTCAGTTAAGCATCCAACTCTTGATTTTGGCTCAGGTCGTGATCTCAGAGAGAAAGTACGAAAAGGGGAGGAGCAGAAAGAGAGGGAGAGAGAGAGAATCCCAAGCAGGTTCCTCACTGTCAGCACAGAGCCTGATGCGGGGCTTGAACCCATGAACCATGAGATCATGACCTGAGCTGAAGTTAGACACTTAACCAACTGAGCCACCCAGGTACCCCTCTCTCTCTCTTTCAAATAAACAAATAAATAATGCTACACAGGATCACTCTAATTTTCCCTACATTAAAACTTACTTTGCTTTCTCTGAAAGAGATAAACTAAGCTCTAAGACAACTTAGGCACCTAGTTACAAAATCCAAGTGAATCTTAACTCCTGGGTTAGCCCATCCTTGGCTATTACAAACAAATGTTTGCAAATTTTTTTAAGAAAATCCTTTTTATATAAAAAAATTTAATTTTTAAATTACTATAACTTTCAAGTCTAGAAAGGTAGCTTCGTATTAAGCACTCTAGGAACATTTACCAACTGAATTTGAGGAGCCACTGCTCTGTCTGTCGGCAGTTTGTCTGGGACCTTCTCCAGGGCTGAGTCCAAGGGAGGAAGCGAGTGTGCGGGCAAGCTCACCTGTCCTCAAAGCACACGGTGCACTTCCAGGCGTGGGTCCTCCTCAGGAATACCCGGCACTCGGAGCACACACGGTAGCTGCAGCCTTTGCACACGGCTCCCCGGTTCAGCAGAAGCCCCAGCGGGCGCCGGCAGCGGGCACAAGACTTCTCTTTGTACTCCTGGCTCACGCTCTTTGCTCCTTTCCACCTGAGATGCTGCAGGTGCGTCTTCAGTTTCCTGCGGCCCAAAGGGTCAAATGAGGAGATAGGACTGAATGGAAGGACAGACGCTAGACATACTCCTACACGGCAAGAGCCGTAACACTGCCACTCACGGCAAGAGAAGAAGAAGGCGCTTTGGCTTCCAGTGCTCCCAGGAAACAACATGGCCCGGCGAGCCAGGGGTCTCACTTAACCTTCCAAAGAGAGGCTCAGAGATTTTCTCAGCTGTGAAACAGAGACGAGCAAAAGCTTATCTCCCAGGGATGCGGAGAAGACCAAATGGCAAAGTGTAAAAAATTCCTGGCACAGATGAGTCAGCCACTCATTTTGTTCTAGACTCATCCCTCCATGCCCAAAGGGCATCATGATGGTTAGCAAGGACAGTGAGAGAAGAAAGCAAAACAAAACAAAACACGCACACACACACAAACACAGAGCATGGCATCAATTTTAATATTGAAGGCATAGAAAGAACTATAAAGTTAGAACATACGCCCCGGATATTGTCATAAGTTATCCACCAATACAATTATTTAACTGGTGCTATGCTTTTGCTACTGGGTTTTTTGTTTTTGTTTTTGTTTTTTTTATGGCTGGTCAGTTCATTTCCAGTCCCTATTTCCCCTAGACAATAGCCCAAGTGCAAAGGAATCCTACATTGGACTCCAAAGAGGTGTCTTTAACCAGAATACTCTTTTATGAAAATGTCTCTTGGGGGGCACCTGGGCGGCTCAGTCGGTTAAGCGTCTAGCTTTGGCTCAGGTCATGATCTCACGGCTTGTGAGTTCAAGCCCCACATTGGGCTCTGTGTTGACAGCTCAGAGCATACAGCCTGTTTCAGATTCTGTGTCTCCCTCTCTCTGCCCCTCCCCTACTCATGCTCTGTCTCTCTTTGTCTCTCAAAAATGAATAAACATTAAAACATTTTAAAAAAGAAAAAGAAAAAGTCTCTGCTACCTACTTTTAGAAGAGAGAAGCCAGTCCCAGAGAAATAGCTGACATTCAACTTGCAGGATCTTCCCTGCAATCAGTACCCTTTGGAACAAAGCTTCGTTTCCACGGTGTCCATGTTACTTTGTTGATACTCAAAATGACGTTTCTTAATCACTGAAAGGCCTCTAATCATCAAAGGCAATTCCATTTTGTTCAGTGTATTCAATTTTTTAGTGGAAGAAAATATAAGCACATTTAGAGAGCTTTGGGATAACCAAGGAGGACAGAAAAAGAACATTGTACCTTCCAGGTAATCAGCAAATTTCTCTCATTCCTCAAGCATTTGTTTGCCCAAAGTTTTGCTTTCTATGTGCATTTTTCTTGGCAGACTCTGAAAGAGTTCTGCCATTGAAAACAAAACAAAGTATGAGGCCCTTGGGTGGCTCAGTAAGTTGAGCGTCCAGCTCTTGATTTTGGCTCAGGTCATGATCTCATGGTTCATGAGACTGAGCCCCACATCGGGCTCTGAGCTGACAGCACAGAGCCTGCTTGGGATTCTCTCTCTTTCTCTGTCTGTCTGTCTCTCTCTGACCCTCCCTGCTTGTGCATGTGTGCTCTCTCTCTGTCTCTCAAAATAAATAAATAAAGTTTAAAAAATGTTTAAATCCAGAGCGCCTGGATGGCTCAGTTGGTTAAGTGTCCGACTTCAGCTCACGTCATGATCTCCCAGTTCGTGGGCTCAAGCCCCCAATTGGGCTCTGTGCTGGCAGCTCAGAGCCCGGAGCCTGCTTTGGATTCTGTGTCTCCCTCTCTCTCTGCTCCTCCCCAACTCAAGCTCTGTCTTTCCAAGACTAAATAAACATTACAAAATGTTTAAAAACAAAACAAAATTTAAAAGCCTATTCCAGGGGCGCCTGGGTGGCTCAGTCAGCTAAGCGTCCGACTTCAGCTCAGGTCGTAATGTCACAGTTCATGGGTTGGAGCCCCGCGTCAGGCTCTGTGCTGACCCTCCCCTGCTCGCGCTGTCTCTCTGACTTTCAAAAATAAACTTAAAAGAAATTTTTTAAAAAAGCCTATTCCATGTACTTATTTTCTAGACTTCACATCCTTTATAAACATTGATAAACAAGGTGTCACCATTTCTAAAGGTGGATCTTGACTGCTAATGGTCAGCAGTTTTGATGAGGTCTGGCGCTGCTTTGGAAAGTGTTAACTACTACCAACCAGCCAGGGCAGCTTCTAGACAGACAAGGAAAGAAACTTCCTATTGGCAGATCAGTCAGGGGAACAGGCCGAGCAGGTTCGTATTTTACACTCCCCTCCCCTCAAAGCCAACTTGTTGGCAAAAGCACCCACAGAAAAAGACAGGGACGGATCGCACCCGATCTGCCCACAATGGAAGCAGCCCTTTTCTGGAGGTCTTTCCCTTGACAGGTATATTACAAGCTGAAAATCTGCTTTTGATTTATTCCTACAAAGTAGCAAAGCGACAAGCAGCCCACAACACACTCATCACAGAAAGAAAGGTGTTAGTTTAAGTGAATGACAAAAGCAACCTCCGTCTTCCCTTAGGGAAGCTCAGTCCCAGGGCAGGGCCACCTGGCCCCCACCCCTCACTGGGACGCTGGAGGGGGGCGGTCAGCAGGCAGCAGCGAGCCAGCAGCAAAGCCAGGTGGCATCAGGCAGCGCGCAGGGAAGTGCCACGCGTGGGCGACAGCATACCGGATCCTTTCCTCCTCGACGTTTTGAATCGCCTGGTCTCGGTACAGCACCTGGAGGATGACATCGCGTTCCAGGTCCTGGAGGGAATTCAGACTGACTTCCTGGGCCATTCCTTCTGTCGTGCGCGGACCCGCGTGGAGTGTCACTCTATGACCCAGCACCCTGGCTGCGGGTGGGTGAGCTCAGAGCATCCAGGAGCAACTCGGCGGCTTGAAAGCACTTCCTCTCCTATATCATTGGCAACTCATTGGCTTGTGGCTCTTTTTTTTTTCCTTTTTAACTGCGTCACACTCCTTGGGGAGAAGCAAGCCCCAAGACGCTGTCCCTCAGCTGGACTCACGGCTCCCAGAGGCTCATGCCACCAGGGGACCCTCCCCACTGGGTGCCGCTGCCGCCTCTGATGTCCGTCTAAGACAAAAGTGTTATCGTTTTTTCTGGGGTTTTGCCAGAGATTGTTATAAATCAGGCATGGCTCTCAGCAGATAATTTCTGTAGAGCAGAAGCGAGCCTCAGTCGGAGGGAACTTACGAAAGGCGGTAAGAGGAGTATCAAGGACGTTTAGAAGATAACTTTCCCCTCCAGTGCTCTCAGGTCAGCCAGAATGGTCATGAAAAGCCCAGCCAGGTCAATACCTGTAGAAAAGACAGCAACAAAAATGGCATCATTTCCCTGGCTTGTGCACGCCTGCAGTGTTGCCTCAGAAACACTAAGTGTTCCACACAGACCTTTGCACTTTCTGCCATGGTGATAATGTAAGAATTTAAATTTATTAAATTGGCCTTCTCATGTTTCTCAAAGCCACAAACTTCAAAAACTTGAATTGTTCTTTTTTTTGGTAAGTTTATGTATCTGTTTTGAGAGAGAGAGTGGGGGAGGGGGAGTGTGGTGAGGGGAGAGAGGATCCAAAGCGGGCCCTGTGCTGAACAGCAGAAAGCCTGATGTGGGGCTTGAACCCACGAACTCTAAGATCATGATCCGAGCCCAAGTTGGATGTTCAACCAACTGAGCCACTCAGGTGCCCCTGAACTTGAATTGTTCTAATATGAATCCAGTATCTCCATAATTAGAGACATAAAGGTCCATGATTAATGTACCTCATTGTAACTGACAATATGATAGAAGAACAATGTGCTCAAGGCTTAGCTATTATTTTTACAATTAACTTCAAAACTCAAAAAAAAACACACCCCTTTTAGTCAGTTGGGGAGGTGTGATGGGACATCATCACAACCTCGATATATTAATTATTTATGTTTTTTAATGGTTTTCATGGACTACCTTATGTATGGGATCTCGTTTCTGTTTAATGCTGATTGAAAAGTTCTGCATACATTCTCCCTGCCTTTTTTTCCCCATGGGTGACACTGAGCTCACATGACCTTCAAATTTTTCCTCCCCCCAGCCAAGAAGATGCCATTGAATTGATAAAATGCTGGCTAGATGCGTATCAGTGAAATGCAGAAAGTGTAGATTAAATCAATATACCTTCTGTAATGCCATTTTGTTATCAAATCTACATGATTTCCTTAGTAACAAGACTTCCTTTCATTGCTTTAGAACCTAGACTCCTTTTGTTGGGCTTCAACAGAAACTCACATTATATTAATTTATGATTTATAACAAATCACTGAATAAGAGGTTAATAAAGCCCTAAGGGATCATTTTCTTTAAGCAGAGATTCTTACACTTTTTTTCTTAATCTTTGGTAGTATAGGGAAGCCTGTGTCCTTAAATGCATAAAATAAAATACATTGAATTACAAAGGGAATTGATTATATTGAAATGTTATAAAATAGTAATATATATGTCCATTGATACATGAAGTAATGAGTTCCAACAACTACTGTAATTTCAAAGTAGTGATGATTATAAATCATATTTTGAGATATCTGTAACATGCACTGTAGTACGAAAATGTCTGTGATTTCTGTCGGTGACCATCACCAGGTCCTGCTAGTTCTCCTGTGGTTTGATGCCTGTATTCACGATGGAAGGAAATGCTACATTGTAGTTAGAGGTAAATAAATAAAGATGGAATCTTTTTTCCATCCAAGTTCATGTCCCTATAGGCTAAGGACTTGGGGCTTAAGGGATTCTAGATTTGTCAGTTTCTCTACCATGAGACAAAGTCAAAATACATCACTCACCCAAATGCACAGGTTGCGTGACAAATAGGGAGAGGTGGTGCTCTGCATAGGCACACACTCGGCCTCTAGACTTTAGTCAAGTTCTCGCCAGAACCTGCTGTCAAAAGGCTTCATATCTAGACGGTGGGAAAAAGACAAATCAACAAGGACTCTGGGCTCTGGCCAAGCCTGACTGGTAATCACTGTATGACTGGGGTGAAGCCTCGATTCTTCTTGGTCCCCAGTTTCCAGATGCACAGATGGAAATTGTAGATCTTAGTTCCCCAAGGATCTGAGTCTCTGGAAAAGAGGAAAGTAATATGGAATAAAGTATAATCAAGTGACAATTGGTGAGGCACAAAGTGGCCATATAAGTGACCAACATTATGAGCCTACTTCTTCTAAACTTGCCCCTTGGTCCTTCTTTCTTTCTTATTTCTAATCATGAACCATACCACTGGACCAAGAATTATGCTTGTGGTCTGATTCTCAAGTCTTTAATTTTTATTTATTTATTTATTTATTTTTATTTAAAAATTTTAAAAATTTTATTTATTTTGGTGGGGGGAATGAGCAGAGAGAGAGAGAATCCCAAGCAGACTTTGCGCTGTCAATGCAGAGCCCAATGTGGGGCTCGAACTCACCAACTGTGAGATCATAACCTGAGACAAAATTAAGAGTCAGATGCGTAACTGACAGAGCCACCCAGATGCCCCTCATGTCTTTTTAATGAACACTTTTGCACTTGGCTCAAAACACATGATTTGTGTGCACTGAGCTTTCTTCTCAGGTGGTTTTTGTGCTCCACCCTCTGGCTCTGGTCTTGCAGTGCTAGGCTGGAAATGACGCAGCCAATGAGCTCACTGGGAGAATTCTGGAACACGCAAATTGTCACCCATGCAGATGGCTGGGTTTTACAGATATATAGGAATACAATTATCAATTAAAAACACTCCTCATCCTCTATCAAATCCAGGGCTGTGGGCTGCAGTGGGAAGTGCCCTTTTCATAGATGAGAGAGAGCTAATCCTTCTCTCAGTGGCCATTCACACCTGGCTATAGAAAAGTGAAATTCAGTTTGTTTCTAGGATCCATCATCCATCCATTCAGCAAATACTGAGCACTTTCCAAGTGCCAACACTGTTCAAGTGCTTAGAGCACATGGCTTGAATGACTGGTGACCTATACCCTATCCCCTGTCTAACAAAAATATGATGCTACTTACAGTAAAAGCACAGAGAATAATTAAGATAAAGTCAGAGAAATATCAGCAGTCAGAGTGGAAAGAGATCATTCTACCAGGAACCTGCAGTGAAACAGTCATTGTCCTTGAGCATGGATGTATTTCTCACCTTCTTACAGCCAAGGCAAAACCAAAGAAACAAAACAAAAGAAAAATCAGGGTCATATAAGGGCGCCTGGCGTAGAGCATTTGATGCCTGATCTTGGGATTGTGAGTTCAAGCCCCACATGGGGCATAGAGATTACTTAAAAATAAAATCTCTTAAAAAATCAGGGTGGAGTATATCATTCTGACAATTATACCAAAAGAACACAAGAAGGACATCTTTGTAAGCCTTCGGTCATGCGAGCACTTGGTTAATATTTGCTATGAGGAAAGCCTTCTATTGGTAGATGGAAATGTACTTTTTTCTTTGACCTGAAGGATCTGTCTCCAGAGCCTGTCTAAACAAGGGGTGACTTTTGAAATGATGGCCTCAGTACTGCAGAGAGCATCATTCCAGAGTCATAAACTGGTACTGTTCGTAGGGCATCACCCCAGAATCAGTCACATCGAGTTTTTTTTCTTTTTTTTTTTAAATGTTTTATTTATTTCTAGGAGAGGAGAGAGAGAGAGAGAGAGAGAGAGAGAGAGAGAGATACAGCATGAGCAGGGGAGGATCAGAGAGAGAGGGAGTCACAGACCCTGAAACAGGCTCCAGGCTCTGAACTGGCAGTCAGCACAGAGCCCGACGCGGGGCTCGAACCCACGAACCGTGAGATCATGACCTAAGCGAAAGTCGGACGCTTAACCAACTACGCCACCCGGGCGCCCCAGTCACATCGAGACTAACAGAAACGGAGGAAGACGTTTTCTCTTTGGTTTCCCGTGTCCTTCTAATGTCCTTCCTGGCCTGGTGGCTTGGACAGTCCATGCAACAGGTTTGAGCCATGGCTGCTTCATGCTCGCTTCCTGGGACTCCTTCAAGATTTTCAGTGGGGGTGGTACAACCTTTACATCTTGAAATTTGTGGGGTGCTTCTGGTTGGCAGAGTGACAAAGAACTGTCTTCCATTCCCACGCAAATGTTGACTATCTTACCAGATCATTCCATTAGGAAAAAATTAGTTAGCTGATAAAATTTAACTCTGATCTAAACATAATGTATATTTTGCATGATTTTAATGTATTCTGAGTTTTCCAGAATGCAACTGTTGTGTAAATTGAAGGAAAACTGTACTGTGTTTCATTTAAAACTTTCACAAGAATTGCTTATCATTTCAGAGAGTTGCATCATTAAGGGCAACGTGGCTTTTAGTACCTGAATCACTCTTGCCATGCATGGGTAACAATCTACACTTGTAAATGTCAAATTCAACATGACTCTTTAAACAAACATCTGACAACTTCATTAGGTCTTCTAATATAGTTTACACATATGAGTACATACTATAATTATTAAATATATAATTTATAATTTAGAAGGTTCCTTTATTTCTCCTTTTCTTATGATAATGATGTAGTAGTAGTAGTAGTAGTAGTAGTAGTAGTAGTAGTGTATAGGTAGGTTATACTATGCATGGATTGTATTTCTGGACATTAAAAGGTGAATTACAGCATTGAATTTCATAGTTTTAAGAACCACTGAATTAGAAGATCCAATAATTCCTAAGGTCGTTTACAAATTAAATTGTATCGGCACCTAGGTGGCTCAGTCAGTTAAGCGTCCAACTCTGGCTCAGGTCACTATCTCACAATTCATGGGTTCGAGCCCCGTGTCAGGTTCTGTGCTGACGGCTCAGAGCCTGGAGCCTGTTTCAGATTCTGTGTCTCCCTCTCTCTCTGCCCCTCCCCCACTCATGCTCTGTTTCTCTCTGTCTCAAAAATAAACTATAAAAAAACATATTTTAAAGAAACAAATTAAATTGTATAATTCTCTTGTTCATATTGTGACACATTATTAGGTTTGTAGGAGAATGGGTGAGGGAAATACAGAATTGGCTGCTGGTGGTTGTTTTGTGTTTTTGGTTTGGGGACTTTAGTTTGTGAATTTGCATATGCAATGTCAGGTCTGATTTCTCGGTTATAATTGACAGCGCAGAGGTCTTCTTTCAGATGCAAATTATTTGAATTATTTCAGCTGCATTTGTTTCCATCCTCTTAAATAGAAGTTCTGGGGCTCTTTCTGCACTTTATCCCAGGTTGGCTGGCATTTGAATTCTTAGAAGTTTTGTATCAACTGCTAACTTGGAGATTCAACTGTGTGATCCATTTTGCAAATCACTCCACAATGATTCACTAAAACTGTTCTTGGCTCATGGTCTATTTATGCAAGACAAAGTGTCCCCAGACCCATGGTGACAATTTATTTTCAATTTTTAAAGTTGTTTGTTGTCATTTTTTAGTGAACTTCCTAGTGACCAGAGGTTTCTAGGATGGCCGATGGAAGTCAGGATGGAGCACAGGACCGTGGTAAACACCAAGAAAGTCAGAAAGAATTCCAACCACCTCCTGGCATTAGTGGGGTCAGGTACACCTTTACAGATTCCATTTCTAGTCACCTGTAGTAGAAACCATGCCGGAATATGTTTCATAGTCTTTGAAACATGAATAAAACAAACCTACTTCTCTCGTGGATGTTTTGATTGATGCGATGTTTTGGAGCAGAACATGGAGATAATAAAAGAATTACATGAAATCTATCAAAACCAGTTTGCATGGTCCTCTCACTGTGCTACGTATTACTGTCTAGGATTATAGAATAAGGTAGGAGAGTAACATCTGTAACCCTCACAAGGTGCCTTCATGACAAAGGGGAGACCCACCGAGCCTGGGAGAAGAGGAGGAGCTTGTCTCAGGCACAGAGAGGGCGTCCCTCAGGTGGGGACAGTGTATTTACCAACACTGAGGTGGGAATGTGACATTTTTCCTCCAGCACGGGAGCCCAGCTTCTCCGTGGCCTAGAAACAAATTCTGAAGCACAAACATGGCCTTCCTGACCACCCCCAGTGTCTTCCTACTTCTGCATCCCCACTCCCAATAAGTGTCCAAAGCTCGCATGGTGGACTCATTCGAGACTATTCTCTTGAGCCCATCATGCACTCACTCTTCCTTTTCCGTGCTTTGGCTCCTGCTCTTCCCTCTGTTGACCAAAATCTAATTTACTCAGAGGCAGTGAGGGAACAGTCAGGAAAGCAGGTCTGGAGCCTGACTGTGTGGGTGAGTAGCTCAGCTCTGCCCCTTACTAACTGCTGAAATGCTGGGCAAGTTACATAACTCACTGGGATTTAACTTCCTTGCCTGTACAGAGAACTACCGTGCCTACTTCACAGAGTAGTTGTGGGGCTTAACTGTGTTGATACATATCAGTACTTAGATCACAGTGGCAGGTATATACTAAGCAATTGATAAATGTTAGCTGTAATTATTGTTGGTAGTAACAGTATCACCATCGTGAGTTTTAATCTTTCAAGGTCCAGCTTAATTGCTACCTGATTCTCCTTATTTACAATTAAAATGAATCACTCCTTCATTATAAAACCTTTCCACTTCATGTATTTCTCTATGGGGACACTGACTTCATTCTGGCTTGTAGTCAAGAATCCTTTCTAGTGGTGACATTGAGTTTTAGTGACCCCTCACCACCCGGCAAGCAGGTCCTTAATATCTGGCGTGTGTTGAGAAACCCAGGGAACATTGTGTCATGTGGGTTTGCTTGCAAAGCAGGAAGCACGAATTCAAGTTGAGTAGGAAGTAAAAACAGTCAGGTGAGCAAGCTCCCGATTCTGAAAGCTTCAGCCTTCAGAAGTCGGAAAAGCACAGGAGAATTGGAGTCATTTCAGAATTTGAGAAGCATACTAAAAAGCATTTTAATGATGGCGTGCAGAAATTCGCAGCCCTGCAGCCAGAGAGGTGAAATCTCCCAGATCCATTTTTCTGAGATGCTCCTTTTTCATTACTGTCTCACTCACCTGACAGATTCTTAAATTGCATTTATTTTGTCCCAAGCAAAGAAGGTGGGCTCCGGTCTCACTCACAGGATGCCCCAACCTCCTTTTCCCATTGCACGTTTATAATTT